ATGTGTGACAGAATGAATGAAATCCAATGAAGATGTTAGCAGCGAATGAAAACGACCAAAAATCAATCGGACAGCAGAAGCTTTCGGCGAATGGTGCCATTTTAGCTTACAATTAGTGCTAAATCCAATTGAAACGTGATTGTCATGATGAGATAAATTTGTTTGTATGAATGAACGGATTGTTCACTTACTATCATATCGGCCTTTGACACAGCAAAAACTGAACTTATCAGCCGTATAACAAAGCGAGCTGGGTGAGCAAAAGCTTTCCGGTTTCGTGCAATTGAAAGTGATAACCGGCAATCCATCACTAGCCGTCTCAACACCATAACCCAACCCACAACTCATCGAGAACGATCTCGTATCATCATCATCTGAAGCATTCGAATAAAAACAGTGATGTTCACCAGAAATCAACTCTACTGGAAAACTTCGAGAGTACACTCTGGAAGTGCTGCATTGAACATGCAACAGAACATACCTTTAAAATTGTCATCGGCACAACTTTGCAGTGTAGGATAGGTTCTGAGATTGTGCGGTTCACAACCCTTACGAAATCCGAAGCAGTTATCATTATCTTTCAAATAAACATACTGAAGAAACAAGCATTCATTAATGAATAGAATCACTAAATTGTGTGCGATATTCCTTTGTAAATCAATCCGTTTCATCACAAATCACCGTGTCAGTATTTTGAGAACGATTTTTTCGTATCAAATTCATCACATTACGAAAAAGCTTCGAAAAGGAATCATTTCTGAGAAATATTTGGATGAACTTTGTCGAAATATTTAGATGAATCTGATTGAAGAGAAAGGTCGAAGCAAAAGATTTCTCTGCCAAATATCGAACAGAAAAGACTTCAGAGGATCATGAATTGGATCAAGAAATGCATCCAGAAACTATTCCGTTGTAGCAGTGAAAATCGACCAAAAATTACCGTAATCGGTTGCCGAAAGTACGCTCGTCCATTGCATTGCGCCATTCCATTCGCTTCAACCGTTACCAGCAAACCTGAAGAAACGAAGAACGAAGATTCTTGAATATGAATTTTATCATTAGAAGAAATATCTCGTTATTTCTACTAAAGGTATAGCTGCGCCCGCATAAACGCTGTTTTATTGCTTATCAATGCATTGAGAACATACGTCAGATTTCATTTGAAGTCGTCCTGTTTTTGTATCTTGTAATCGTGAAACTTTTACTTTTCTGAGAGTATCGTTGCAAAAGTTATTGTTAGAAAATAGACTGACTTCGAAAATTTAGGATTCCTGCGAATTTTCGCCCTTATTTTAGGAGTTCCTTTAAAAAATTTGTTATCATCGCAGAATTGTGAGAAAAAATTTATAATATGAATATTGAACGAATCTTTAAGATAAATCCTAATTCACCTGCTAAATAAATAATAGCTGTCGAATAAACACTGAACATAATGTTGCCCATAACAGCACTTTCGAGTTTCAGAACCAGCGCTCTAAAAATATAATCTGAGGTGTTGCTTGCTAACATTAATGTGTAGAGATTCTTAAGAACGAATATCGATGCTGTTTCGCGGAAAGCATTTCCGAGATTACGCTGAACAGTTTTATGATAATCAGGACCCTCAGAAGGAATACTCTTACAAAAAATTAGCCTAAAACAACGCAACAGAAGTGTTTGAATTCTCGCAGTATGTTAAAATGATTTCGTTCCATTGAACGATGCAAGCCAACGGCAACAAATCATCCGCATTTTGTCTGGNCATGCTTCGAGCCGCTCGAAAATGTCCGATAAGCGAAATGAATAAGAGGAGAACGGGAATCGTGAAGAGCATTCAAACTTCTCATAGCAACGAATCGTCGATCGTTCATCGAACTCCAAAAGTAAGGATTGAATTCGAACGTTTTGAAATATTCAAGATGGAAACTATGATTAACACCCATAAAATTTTGAATTTCTCATGCACATAACGTCGAAGAACTAACGTTATCACACACATAAAATATTTCCATTGAATATTAATCGTTAAACACTGGCATTTCACTCGTTCAATTGAATTTTCGAATGTTATTTCACTTCATTGGTTCATTCACCTGCAGAATTCGAAAAAATTATGCGCGTTTATGACGGAATCGTAATTGTACATCAAAGATTGCATGAACAGCAGTTCACGTAAACTGAGTGACTGCACGAACAGCAGTCACAACATTCCTGAGAAATCATACAGATTCCGAGAAGGTCAGCTATCTTCTTCTTGATCAAATCCGAAAATGTAATATATTGATGCAGATATTTAACTTCCCATGATTTTAATAGATATTATTAATATGCACGATACACATACAACAGCTATTCACGGTAGAAAATCAATTGATCAAAAAACGCTCGATACTTCAAAATCCGCTTATGAAACTAGAAGTTGATAAAATTGGGTGCTGATAGCCGCCAACTTAAATGCGTTTGCTTTGTGTTTGTTTGATGAGTCAATGTCACGTTTCATTGGTCTGATAGTAATCGTCAGCATGTTGGATTATTGCAAATCAAATGAATGCAGCGAGAGTAATGATAGGAAGCGCACAGGAAAAAACAAGCACTGTTCGGGGACGTTTTTAGAAAACGATTGGGAGGGAAACGAAACTATAAGGACAACGATAATTCAGTAAGAGTCGATTAAAAGAACGAGTTCCATCGGAAAATCGTCGCCACGAATGAAAGTTCTATTGTCGGGTGTCAAAAAAATGCATATTTCAAGTAGCTTGACAAGTGAGGCACTCAACTGCGGAAATTNATTATTGGTTTTACTTTGAGGATATTGTAGTACGAAAGTACAAATGAAATTCAGGGTAGGGAAAGAAACTAAAGAAATGAACATCGTATCCTATGAATATTCGGATGAATATTGATGTTTTATGAAAAATTCATCATGAATAGAGAAGATACTCGGCGTTTTATTTGTTTGTGCTAAAGAGTGCTTGAGAACATTACATTAATATCGGATTATTTTGATCAATTTTCATTTATCGAACATTAACTTTCTTTAATCGACAGCGAATCAGCAATGCACTCAACTGGCACCACCCATCTATGCAATCAAATGTATCGTTTCATTCAATAGGGCTTTCTCAATCTTCCGGCATCCATATAATCCAATTATGGTACTATGGGATTATTGCTTTTTTTCAGAGAACCGAATCAGTTGCAGTATTTTTTCGGTGGCTACATTAATGGGTGAAGCGCTCTGCTCGTCTGTTAAATTATGGCAAAAATTCTTTTTATGCATGAGTAAATTTAATTTGAAATGATATCCTTATTATGAAATTGAGTGCATAAAGCAATATTAATGGGCATTCTCTCTAGAGAATTCTTTCTTCCTCTTTATTTACCGAGGTAATGCGATCATACTAAAGTGAATTCCCTTTCCTCAATTTCCATCATACCACTTTGGTGAGTTTCACTAGGTAAATCATCATTTAAGGCCACGCGCAATTATCTAAGAATCACATCTGCTAAATTCAACCCCCAGTTATGGTGTGTGTGTTCCGTACTTCCTTCTCTTTCAGTTTTCATTTTATTTTGAGCTACTCCTGTTCTCGATCTATTTTAAAATCTAAACTTTAAACTTCACTCAACTTATAATCGATTCATCCTGATTGGATATTCTGTGCACCGAACAGTACTTCCGCATTCCTGTAGAACATTTCCCGTTGCGTGCGAAACGATTTTCGAATAATTTCTCGCAGCATCGCTTTGAACGAACTCATATCATCGTTTCACCAGGTCGTCGATTCCGCGACGATAGAAGTCCGCTGGCTTCGAGGCGAAGAAGTCGTCTAGCCCCGTTTTGAGGGCATGATCGTTGTCGAAGGCTATACCGTTGAGGCTGTTCGAGAGGGAGCGGAAGATGTGGTAGTCAGATGGAGCGAGGTCTGGCGAATAAGGTATATGAACCAAAATTTCCCATCCAAGCTCCTCGATCGTTTTTCTGGTCCCTTTTGCCGTGTGGGGCGCAGGTTGTCATGCTACAGGATGACCTTCTTCACGATATCGGGCCGTTTGTCCTGAATAACCCGGTTGAGCCGGTTCAGTTGCTCGTAGTACAGTGCAGCAGTGACTGCTTCGTCGTTCTGAAGCAGTTTGACGCCGATTCTGACGGATGAGGTCATTCAGACGCCCCTCGTCGAGAACCAACATGCAACCTGAACGTCGCCCGCCCTCCACGTCGAAGTCGCCCTTCGCGAACCTCGCAAACCATTTCTGGGCTGTTCTTACCAGCATTACATCATCTCCTTATACGGCACAAATGTCATAAGCGACCGTAGAGCCCTGACTGAATGCACAAAATAGCACTTGTGGAAAATGCGTTTTTTCGTCCACCTGACACTTCATTTCATCATGCTGAAGATCCGGACGAAACGAAACTGCAGTAGATCCGATTGGTGTATAACGCAGTTGCGAAGAGCAGAAAGTCCGCTATCGATTGGTGTATGACACTCCTCCGGAAAAGTGAACTTTTGCCGGAATAATTCAATTTGAATAAAGGTGCACGAGCTTATGCACCAACCCAATATAATATAAAAGAGTGAAAGTATTCCAAATGAAAGTTCCACACAGCCGATCTAATAATAATCCCTGCGATTCGTTTCAGTTGAGTGGTTTCAGATTTTCTTATGTTCGGCCACTTTCGGACGAATATATTTTACGATCAAAATTGGTACAAATTGCTGGGTATTTTTGACAATATACAGCATTCAATTAACGCTAATCGTTTATCAACTCGATTAACTTTGAAATTGCCAATAGCAATCTAAACTTCATTCTCGAAATGTTCTCGAAACACCGCACTCATATCCGACGAGAATTTCTTTGCTTATATACTAACAATTTGCCCTTTCCATATCATTTCAGTAGAGCAATTCAACACTGAAATCTATCGTACAAATTGATTTGCAGAACTTACCGTAATAAAAAATGTACTACGTAAATCCATCTACTTTATCAAACATCTTGTGTGGTGTTTTCTCATCAAAGTGTGAATAATTCTCATTCGAATGGTGCATTTCACTACTTACGTCAGGATTCGTCACTTATTGAGTTTGTACAGTTGAAATGAGTGACCACTGAAAATTGTATGAATATAATTACGTTGCGTTACGTCATCTTTATCAATAAATTTATGTATGATCATTCGAACTATTCATCACTAGTATAAAATGGCACAATTCATGGATAATGTTCAGACCGTATTCGTTTATCTCGAGTGGTTCTCTTCTTTGATTAATGTTTACCACAAAGATTTTGCTCATTGTCAGAATGAAAGTGCTTATGCTGAATTTCATATGTTTTGTTTTTATGATCGTTTTGGATCAATTTGCGATGAGAATCAATCTTGCCATCTTTCAGTCAATTACATTAACCCAAAACCTTTTAGCGCTTCAATTAGGCATAGGTTCATCTTTTCATTGAGCGAATACAACAACAACCATTTATGACTTAATTGCTACCATATTCAACGAAAACTCATTATACTGTAAGCTCCCATGTCATTAAATTCGCAATAAATAACTACTATAAATGGCCAAATTTCCTCCTAATTATCGATATTTCTCAGTACAAAAAATCTAATATTATCGTTTCATCGCATCGAATTATAAGGTTCTTAAATCCCAGTTTCATTCTCCTCCCGTTTAAGGGGCTTAATTAGGCGCGATATTATCTTCTCTCTCTCGAGTATTTTCTATTCGAGCATTGCAGTCCTCAGATATTCTTCAAATAACAAAACGCTATTTCAGCTCTCATTCAAATCACGTTCGGTGTATTTCAGCTATCAAATAAATTTCAGATGATTTTTAGATTCATTTCTAAAACTTATCACACATCGCCGAGGTACCTATCGTTATTCAGCGGCGCGCTGCTCGTTCATTGATTATGGATGTTTACAAGTTTTTGCAGTTCACTTTAGCGATTATAATTTCAGATTAATGTATTACAATAAACAGCAAATTAAGATTATTTTGGCATTTATCATATGCGCTATTGGATATGGCACTAATGCGTTACCGTTGACTTCGATGTATATGCTGAGGTACGTTTGGCCGTTTGCAAACGTCTCATTATTCGTGTTGGTTTCCCTTCTCACTTGTAATATTCAATTTTCTCGATCCTTTAGCTCCCCATCCATCCAGAATTACTTCACCTTCAAGTGTATCGTTTGAGAAGTTGAAAGACCAATCAATTACGATGCTGCCCAACGTTTAGGAGATCTGTTTCCAACTTTAGTGTTCTCCATTCAATAACAATGTGATTCGGAAGGAATTCATTCGGGAGATCAGTTCGTCAAAGTTGACGAGATTCATTTAACGAGAAATCAACGAGATTCATCCGATGACAGAAGTCGGGATGAGCAACTTTTGAAAACAATATCTGGAACCATCTGATCGATGCATGCTATCCGTTTGTGAGGATACCCTTATCAAGGCTCCTTAAGAAGTTGAATTGCACTGCGGTACATCTCAGGAAATGTAGTGCACCATTTTCGTGTGGAATGAAAATTACTCGGAATAAACTTTAAGAGTTCTCTTTGTGGAGATACAGGCAGTCCTGGATATTTAGGAGCCTCCGGTTAGGTTGTTTTCATCAGAGAATGTTGGAACGTTTAGGGTTGAAGCAAGTAAGAGTTATTCTTTGGAGATTGCTGCGTCTGGAACGTACGATCACGATAACAGGATTTTAGAACGTATTTTAAGATGTCGAAACAGTTTAGGATCTTTGCTTATAAGGCGGAAATGAGTCTCCGGAATGAATATCCATCTAAATGTATTGTTCTCAGTTTCAGGCCATTAGAACTAAGCGAGATGAATGATAATGCGGTGAGTCTTGATTACAACGAGGATGAATTAACGAATTCCAGTTTAGAAGGTGCCTCGTTGACGTTCAAACGCAATTGTTTCTTCAGTCCAGTTCAGTGCATGTTCCGACGATCGAGTAGTAAATGAGGAAAAGAATGAGAATCATACTGTATAAATAAATTTTGATCTCGTTAAAAGGCAACTTCATTCGTGCCGTGCGTTTGTCTGAAAGAATTTACACTAACACACGACGTTGCAGCATCAGTAGTTGAATTCGACAGAATGCACCAGACATGCTCATTAATGGGTACAAAATACTGACTATTTTGTAATCGCAGCATCGAAATTAACCCTCCGGACTGTTTTTAATGCCGCAATGATTCCAAGATTGGAAAACGGTCATAGATAAAGTTAAGGATGACAAATACGGAACAAGATGGATGACATTACGAAATTTTTGTTCAGTGTCTTCTGAGAAAAGAAATCTAAGTTGGTGCTAGTATGTAACTATTTACCTACTGATTTCCTTTCGGATGTAAGAAGCAATATTACTGACTATGATGTATGATTGATTCACAATTCAACATAAGCGCATTATCAAATTCAAATCTTAAAGTCCCGATTTTTTAAAGCACATCTCGGGATCATAACTGAAAAATCGAGATTCAGAAAATCTTGGATCCCCGGCAAACACTAGTGCCTATATCTCTAAGATCACCAGCTAGTGGTCATAATCAACTGCTTTTATTCGCGCTAAGATCGAAAACAACGAATGTGTAATGAACGATTGTATAATCGAAATCGAATAGTGAATGCAATAAATTACGATCAGGTTGTTTTTCTGAAACGATTGAATTACTCCTCAATTATCGGACGCATTATTGGAAATGAAAACAAATCAATTTTCGACAGAGAATGAGGCATCCGGCAAACACATCATCGTTTTGCGCTTTATAAAACGATTCTGCTGGCACATTTATCTCGTTGGTATATTCCCTGATGATTGCTCAATAATAAACGGAAGGAAATTGCACGCGTTGGATTGCATTTGCATCCCTTTCCAGTAATCGTTTCATTTATGGCGCATTCTCATGCTTTCGTCCACTTGCTGAGAATAAATTCAGCTGCAAAACATTTGGAAGCATTTGGAAGTGTGACGTAGCATTTGGGTTTAGAGATGAAAAATCAGCGAAATTTTTTGGT